ATATTAGAGTGTCAGAAATGCTGCTCGCATATTAGAAAGTAAGATATGCAGCTCGCACATTAGAAAATCAGATATGCTGATCGCACATTAGAAATTCAGACATGCTGATCGCATATTAGAAAGTCAGATATGCTGATAGCATATCAGAAAGTCAGACATGCTGATCGCATACTAGAAACTCAGATATGCTGCTCGCACATTAGAAAGTCAGATATCCTGATCGCATATTTGAAAGTCAGAAATGCTGCTCGCACATTAGAAAGTCAGATATGCTGATCGCATATTAGAAAGTCAGATATGCTGATCGCACATTAGAAAGTCAGATATGCTGATCGCATATTAGAAAGTCAGATATGCTGCTTGCACATTAGAAAGTCAGATATGCTGCTTGCTTATTAGAAAGTCAGACATGCTGATAGCATATCAGAAAGTCAGACATGCTGATCGCATAGTAGAAGTCAGATATGCTGCTCGCATATTAGAAAAATCAGATATGCTGATCGCATATTAGAAAGTCAGATATGCTGATCGCATATTAGAAAGTCAGATATGCTGCTTCGCACATTAGAAAGTCAGATATGCTGATAGCATATTAGAAAGTCAGATATGCTGATCGCATACCAGAAAGTCAGATATGCTGATAGCACATTAGAAAGTCAGATAGGCTGATCGCGTATTAGAAAGTCAGATATGCTGATCGCATATTAGAAAGTCAGATATGCTGATAGCATATCAGAAAGTCAGACATGCTGATCGCATACTAGAAACTCAGATATTCTGCTCGCACATTAGAAAGTCAGATATCCTGATCGCATATTAGAAAGTCAGATATGCTGCTCGCACATTAGAAAGTCAGATATGCTGCTCGCATATTAGAAAGTCAGACATGCTGATCGCACATTAGAAAGTCAGACATGCTGATCGCATATTAGAAAGTCAGATATGCTGCTTGCACATTAGAAAGTCAGATATGCTGCTTGCTTATTGGAAAGTCAGACATGCTGATAGCATATCAGAAAGTCCGACATGCTGATCGCATACTAGAAAGTCAGATATGCTGCTCGAACATTAGAAAGTCAGATATGCTGCTCGCACATTAGAAAGTCAGATATGCTGATCGCATATTAGAAAGTCAGATATGCTGCTTGCACATTAGAAAGTCAGATATGCTGATCACATATTAGACAGTCAGATAGGCTGCTTGCACATTAGAAAGTCAGATATGCTGATAGCATATTAGAAAGTCACATATGCTGCTCGCACATTAGAAAGTCAGATATGCTGCTCGCACATTAGAAAGTCAGACATGCTGATCGCATATTAGAAAGTCAGATATGCTGCTCGCACATTAGAACCTCAGACGTGCTGATCGCATATTAGAAAGTCAGATATGCTGCTCGCATTCTAGAAACTCAGATATTCTGCTCACACATTAGAAAGTCAGATATGCTGATCGCATATTAGAAAGTCAGATATGGTGATTGCATATTGGAAAGTCAGATATGCTGCTTGCACATTAGGAAGTCAGATATGCCTCTTGCACATTAGAAAGTCAGACATGCTGATCGCATATTAGAAAGTTAGATATGCTGCTTGCACATTAAAAAGTGAGATATGCTGCTCTCATATTAGAAAGTAAGATATGCTGATCGCATATTAGAAAGTCAGATATGCTGATAGCATACCAGAAGGTCAGACATGCTGATCGCATACCAGAAAGTCAGGTATGCTGATCGCATATTAGAATGTGAGATATGCTGCTCGCACATTAGAAAATCAGATATGCTGCTCGCACATTAGAATGTCAGATATGCTGATCGCATATTAGAAATTCAGATATGCTGCTCGCATATTAGAAAGTCAGATATGCTGCTCGCACATTAGAAAGTCAGATATGCTGCTCGCATATTAGAAAGTCAGACATGCTGATCGCATATTAGAAAGTCAGATATGCTGCTCGCACATTAGAAAGTCAGATATGCTGCTCGCATATTAGAAAGTCAGATTATGCTGATCGCATATTAGAAAGTCAGATATGCTGAACATTAGAAAGCATATGCTGCTAGAATTAGTCAGATATGCTGATTGCACATTAGAAAGTCAGATATGCTGCTCGCACATTAGAAAGTCAAATATGCTGAGAGATATTGAAAGTCAGATATGCTGAAAGTCAGATAAGGTGATTGCATATTAGAAAGTCAGATATGCTGCTTGCACATTAGAAAGTCAGATATGCCGCTTGCACATGCACATAGAAAGACAGACATGCTGATCGCATATTAGAAAGTTAGATATGCTGCTTGCACATAAGAAAGTCAGATATGCTGCTCGCATATTAGAAAGTAAGATATGCTGATATCATATTAGAAAGTAAGATATGCTGCTCGCATATTAGAAACTCAGATATTCTGCTTGCACATTAGAAAGTCAGATATGCTGATCGCATATTAGAAAGTCAGATATGGTGATTGCATATTGGAAAGTCAGATATGCTGCTTGCACATTAGAAAGTCAGATATGCCTCTTGCACATTAAAAAGTCTGACATGCTGATCGCATATTAGAAAGTCAGATATGCTGATCTCATATTAGAAAGTAAGATATGCTGATCGCATATTAGAAAGTCAGATATGCTGATAGCATACCAGAAGGTCAGACATGCTGATCGCATACCAGAAAGTCAGATATGCTGATCGCATATTAGAATGTGAGATATGCTGCTCGCACATTAGAAAATCAGATATGCTGCTCGCACATTAGAATGTCAGATATGCTGATCGCATATTAGAAATTCAGATATGCTGCTCGCATATTAGAAAGTCAGATATGCTGCTCGCACATTAGAAAGTTAGACATGCTAATCGCATATTAGAAAGTCCGACATGCTGCTCGCATATTAGAAAGTCAGATATGCTGCTCGCACATTAGAAAGTCAGATATGCTGCTCGCAAATTAGAAAGTTAGACATGCTGATCGCATATTAGAAAGTCAGATATGCTGATCGCACATTAGAAAGTCAGATATGCTGCTCGCATATTAGAAAATCAGTTATGTTTATTGCACATTAGAAAGTCAGATATGCTGGTAGCACATTAGAAAGTCAAATATGCTGAGAGAACATTGGAAAGTCAGATATGCTGCTCGCACATTAGAAAGTCAGATAAGGTGATTGCATATTGGAAAGTCAGATATGCTGCTTGCACATTAGAAAGTCAGATATGCTGATAGAGCATTAGAAAGTCAGATATGCCGCTTGCACATTAGAAAGACAGACATGCTGATCGCATATTAGAAAGTTAGATATGCTGCTTGCACATAAGAAAGTCAGATATGCTGCTCGCATATTAGAAAGTAAGATATGCTGATATCATATTAGAAAGTAAGATAGGCTGATCGCATATTAGAAAGTCAGATATGCTGATAGCATATCAGAAAGTTTACCTGCCCTTATTAAAGATCGGAGGTTTGTACATGTCGACGGAGAAGGTATTGGATTATATCAAAAGATCTGTTGATCTGATAGCCAATTAATTCTGCTATACCTATCCATGATGGTAATCCCAATGAAAGCTCTTCAATTAGTAAATTGTCTCGCCCAACAAGAAACAAACACACCAAGGTTATGTTATGGTACAGTTATGATTATCAGATGTTCCACTTCCAGCTTTAAAACTATCTCACTCACTTGCCTGGCAATAGTATTTCAGTGGCCTCGACCTACTTTAGCATCAACTATAGCTACATCACAGTCGCCGCATCCTACGCCGCCATCGGGGCAGGGAAGGCGCTAGCATACCCCATCACAACCAAACTGGCATTCAGAGTAGGTGATTTGAGACACTGTTTGACTACAGCTTCCTAATAGACAGCCGTTTGTGATGACCCGGGCTAGAAATGATCACGAGTGAGTGAGTGAGTGAGGTAATATTTAACGTCACATCGGCAATATTTCAGCCTAATCGTGACGAAAACAATTTTTACAATATAAAAATGAAAACATTGTGAAGAGTTAAATCTGTCAACTATGGACATTAAAAATCCTAGAGTATCACAGATATGAATATAAAACTAGAATGTTAATCTAAAACATTTTAACTGAAGAAGACAGTACAATATAAAACACGGGCTATAGATCGCCAACAACTGAAGGTAGATCATTATACTAGGGTCCATGGGGACTTACAGTGCCTTTGCTACCTGCATGGACCTTAGTTGGATTTACACAATCCCTTCAGCCGCTGGCGATTGCAGGAAGATTTAGCCGAAATTTAAAATAACAAACATACTACGATTAAATAGCATGGTTGAGCAAACTTGACTTTCAAAGTTTTTGGGACTGACCTACCCTCTCAGGAGGACAATACTTTTATGCTACTTCAACCCCCTTTGGGGATACAGCCTCAAACAATCTAAGTTGATAATTTGAACTACCAATTATAATTTTTTTTGTCTATTTACAAAATATATATCAAAATTCATTTAACAAATCTATCTCTTTTAAAAAATCAATGATTAAATGATAATTAACTTTATTAAACAGGTCCTTTACTGTTTTGATATTGAAATATTTATCCCTCTTGATGGAGAATTCAACACAGTCGAAATGATCACGAAACTCCTGATTGTCGTAAGAGTGATGAATTGGACTCCCCGGAAGAACCGGGTTATGTCTTGTCTTCAGCAAGCCATGCTTGTCTTGAGAGGCGACTGACGGGACTTGGTTGTCAGGTTCTCCGACTTGGCTGATGATTGTCATCAGATCCTAATGGCGTAGATTAATATTGAGGATGTCAGTCACCGGGTTGTCTGTGCCGGACTTGATCATTCACAGAGCCTCGTGAAACGGCTGGAATATACGGATCGAAGCAGTTTACTATAAAATAAAAAACCAGAAAATTATATGGGACTCGGGTTCGATTATCTTTACAAGGGTACAATTAATGTTCAGTTGTATGGTGGAAATAATGAACTCAGAAGCTGACTGAGTGTGTTTTATGTAAGTGGTTCCCGAACCGGAAGGGTTTGATCTGTGGGATACTGGAAGGAGGCTACGGCGGCAGTGGCTTCATCCTCAACCAAATCATCACTGGCTTCATCAACCCTGAAAACCTCTCTCCTGACCAGGAAGTAGGGGATAACGAGTGAGTAGAAGATTGCTGATGAATGTGAAGGGAGATGAAGGGCTTGTTGTGAGAGGCTTCAGTTGCACCCATAATACACTCACTCACGCACACATAGTTCCATATAAATTATATTGGTCAAGAGACGCATATGTATGTTGACCTTAGTTGATCCAAAATTACAATTACCACAGCTAACATAAGAAACAGTTAAAACACTTACTATTATTATGTGACAGTTCAAAGTAGAAACATACCAGAGAGTCAACACTGACTGCTTTCTACCGTTCGCGTTTAGTTATATTATCTATTATAAAACGTTCTTGAACACACTACACCTACGAATCCCATACCACGACTGACTAATATATGTCTGTGTCTAGGTACTTTACCCAGGCAACTCTCCTGGACATGGTGCCGTACACTTACCTGCTGCTGGGAGGGATGTACACAGTGGTCTTCGCCATAGGCATCTTATTGATGAAGGAACCACCTGATGACCCCGCCCAGGTGAGCAGGGTGTCTGTACCTGATGACCTCGCCCAGGTGAGCAGGTGTTTATACCTGATGACTCCGCCCAGGTGAGCAGGGTGTCTATACCTGATGACCTCGCCCAGTTGAGCAGGGTGTCTATACCTGATGACCTCGCCCAGGTGAGCAGGGTGTCTATACCTGATGACTCCGCCCAGGTGAGCAGGGTGCCTATACCTGATGACCTCGCCCAGGTGAGCAGGGTGTCTATACCTGATGACCTCGCCCAGGTGAGCAGGGTGTCTATACCTGATGACCTCGCCCAGGTGAGCAGGGTGTCTATACCTGATGACTCCGCCCAGGTGAGCAGGGTGCCTATACCTCATGACCTCGCCCAGGTGAGCAGGGTGTCTATACCTGATGACCTCGCCCAGTTGAGCAGGGTGCCTATACCTGATGACCTCGCCCAGGTGAGCAGGGTGCCTATACCTGATGACATCGCCCAGGTGAGCAGGGTGTCTATACCTGATGGCCCCGCCCAGGTGAGCAGGGTGTCTATACCTGATAACCCCACCCAGGTGAACAGGGTGTCTGTAAGGAACAATGTTCACTCTACCTCGTGTGATGCAGGATAAATCGAATCCCATTTGTATCCATTTGAATATACATTTGATATTTCGTTGTGTTGACAATTTACTGGTGTAGCGTGTTTAGTAAGTACCTTCAGCGTGGATTAGTAAGAAATAACATAATTCGAGCACCCCTCCACGTAGATCATTTTGGTATAAAGTATATATTTCAAACCATCAATTCGCATAGATCAGAAATAACATGTTGAACACCCATCCAGATGGCAATGGTCATTCGGGTATAATATGTATAATGAAACACTGTTAATAATTCGCACTAGTCACAAAGAACTGATATCGAACGTCCCTCCAGATGATACAACTCAATGTTAGGTCACGTTGACAAAAAAGTTCGGCCATTTGATACCTGCCACGCTGTACTATTTTCTACCACAGGAAATGTCAGTTAATTACAAGAGTGACGAAGGAGGAGGTGCTGTTGCTGTTGCAACGATCAGTGAAATGGACGGGAGCACTGAGGTCATCAAGGAGTCTGACACTCAAGGGTAAGTTCCCTATCTCCTACTCCAACCCATCCACAAAATATCTACAACATATAATGACAAGGAAATGCATTGCATAAAAAATCACCTGTTATGTAATAATAAATGCAGTGAAATTCCGCACATAAAACCTATCAGTCAATGTCTCGGGTTTATTTGTGGTTTAAGTGAGGAAATGAGGTACCTCTGTATTTCCTAGCCACGACATGACACCGAGGGAGGTCCTACACTCCTGGATATTCTATGCCGTGTGGTTTGCATACTTCTTTGAAGGTTTTGCTGTTGATGTCAACTTTTTCTTTTACAAGGTAAGCTATCTATGCATCGTATTCTAAAGAATTTTATCCAACGGCAAAAATGTGGTCAAACAGAAAGATACAATTACGTGTGACAAAAACGCATTTTGGTTTGGGAGAGTCATCGTCATAGGTGATATCTACACTGCATTTCGATGGAAGAACGTCGCCTGTACGAACCCATTACTTGTTGACGACGATGGATAGAACGAATGCGGGGGTGGTTTTCAAACAGGTAAATACAGTAATGTTTGTAGACGTAACCCACGCCCTTCTTTAAATGCCACGGTTAGCTAGATTGCCTCAGTCGTCTATGGCTCTGCTAATATCTCTGTGAAAGTCAGTCTAAGTAAACGTAGACTCAGTATTATTCGTTACACTGCTATACCGAGTCTAACAAAAAACCTAGTAGAAGGTCGCGTCAGCTAACCTTTGAGCGACCTATGACCGTCCAATCAAACGCGATACGGCCGGACGGATTTAACCAATCAGACAACGGCTACTTGTTAGAGTTCGGCGGGACTTACAAAACGTTTTTTTTGTATTTTCTCTTCCCTGGTCGCTGACACTGACCTATCAACAAACGAAAATCCGCATAAAACACAGGTATTTGACATGCAGTATATACGCTTATGGGTTTCTAATGACATGGTTACTATTTGCTTCTATTTTCGCAAACGCTATTTTCAGCGACTGTTTACTCATTGCGTGTATCACTCGGAAGCGATCATGCGGAAAATAGCATTCGGAGTCGTTCGAGTTTCAGAGGTAAAGGTTCAGACGGTATGTGCGAATGTTAACTTTCGCGATTATGTAAGCTGTGTTCTGATTGGTCAGTGCAAAAGGTTAGCTGACGCGACCTTCTACAATGTTTTGTTAGACTCAGTATAGCAGTGTAACGAATAATACTGAGCCTAAGTTTACTTAGACTGTGATAAAGTTAGAAGGTCAGTGAACGGAAATTCGACTCCAAGATTTGCCTGTGAGTTATTTTAGGTTTGTCGTCATCATATCCATGCTCATGGCTCCTAAAGTTAGAAACGTTTAATCCTCTGACATGATATCACTTAGATACTGTTGGGGACGGTAGGGTAGCCGGGTAAAGCGTTCGCTCGTCACGCCGAAGACCCGGTTTCTCTTCCCCATTAAGATACAGTGCGTGAAACCCATTTCTGGTGTCCCCCGCCCTGACGTGGTATGCAACTAAACTCACTCACTCACTTAGTAATTGTTCAATGAGACGTCCAACTTACTCGCTCTTTTCAAATATGTAACAGACTTATGGTGAGACGTTCATTGATGACGACTACTTCCTGGCCCTTGTAGCTTCGTTTGGGTCCGTGAGTGTTGTGGCCGGGAATCTCTTCTGGGGCGTTCTTGCTGACAAGTATACATACAAGGTAATATGTTTGGAGATAAGTTTGAGAATTAAAATGATTAATATGATATTTTGGATATGTTGGATGTTCTTTGTTGCTTTCGTTTCGCGTGTCTGCAAGGTATCTTCATAATTTGTTTACTGATATGTGACCCTATCCCTTTTATTGTCACTTTGTTGAAAAAAGGAAACGATGTGTAGCCGGAGGGCCGAACTTGAAATCGATGCCGTTGTAAGTGACCGTTTATAATGGTACTTAATCCCACTTACTGATATCACTGTGTTGCATAAATAACTTGTATCCAGTCAGTGTTACACAGACCTTACCAACACATTCTTCAAATGTAAATCACAATACAAACATACTCAGACCTGTTTCTGCTCTTTATTTTACATGTTTGACACTCAACAACATGTTGGTCCTTCGAGTTAACCATCAGTTTCTATATTTTGCAAAACGCAACAGCCTGTTCTGATGATCGTCATATGTGTGTTCGGCGTCTTCACCTCAACATTCTGTCTCACCGAGTATGGAGGGAAACCAATGTACTTCATCTGGGTGTGCGCCATACACTTCGCATTCACTGGGCCCACAACAATCCTGCCCTTAATAGCGATGGAGACGTTCGGCAGCAAGCACTTCTCCGTCAACTACGGCCTTCTCAACACTCCAGCGGTAACAATCCAGATGTTATCGAGATGGACACTTATTTTGAGACCAATCATTTTATATTCTGTAGACTGAGAATTTGTTGAATCGAAATTCCAGACTATAATATTATCCCGAAAGAACGTGTCTTTTGTAAGAAATAGAGCAAAAAAGAAGTAAGACAGAGGACGATGAAATACCAGCCCACCTACCCCTCTACCCGAATTAAATGACTAGTGCCCTATATAATTAGTTCCTCTTCTTTGTGTAAAATCCGTATTTGAAAACTGATTGCAAACGCAAAGTATATCGGAATATATCAGATGATGTATTTGTTAACTTATAGCGTCATGCTTTCACTTTTTGCACTTGTCTCCACATGTTTCAAAGTTCGGATAACTCGATATGTATTCAAAGATCATGCTGGCATAATGAGTTAGTATTAGCATTTATGATTTTGTGACGGCGGTGAGAGTAGTCTGATATAATTCGCTGACGTCCTTATTTTACGTATTTCACTTTTTTTAGGTTAACTGAATATGCCCTCACTTTTCTGATAGCCACAAATATGTTGTTTACTCTTTCAATGTTAACTGAATATCCCTTCACCTTTCTGATAGCCACAATGTTGTTTACTCTTTACAGGTTAACTGAATATCCCTTCACCTTTCTGATAGCCACAATGTTGTTTACTCTTTACAGGTTAACTGAATATCCCTTCACCTTTCTGATAGCCAGAATGTTGTTTACTCTTTAAAGGTTAACTGAATATCCCTTCACCTTTCTGATAGCCAGAATGTTGTTTATGCTTTACAGGTTAACTGAATATCCCTTCACCTTTCTGATAGCCACAATGTTGTTTACTCTTTAAAGGTTAACTGAATATCCCTTCACCTTTCTGATAGCCAGAATGATGTTTATGCTTTACAGGTTAACTGAATATCCCTTCACCTTTCTGATAGCCACAATGTTGTTTACTCTTTACAGGTTAACTGAATATCCTTTCACCTTTCTGATAGCCACAATGTTGTTTACTCTTTAAAGGTTAACTGAATATCCCTTCACCTTTCTGATAGCCAGAATGATGTTTACTGTTTACAGGTTAACTGAATATCCCTTCACCTTTCTGATAGCCACAAATATGTTGTTTACTCTTTAAAGGTTAACTGAATATCCCTTCACCTTTCTGATAGCCACAATGTTGTTTACTCTTTACAGGTTAACTGAATATCCCTTCACCTTTTCTGATAGCCACAATGTTGTTTTACCTGATAGCCAGAATGTTGTTTACTCTTTAAATGTTAACTGAATATCCCTTCACCTTTCTGATAGCCAGAATGTTGTTTACTCTTTAAAGGTTAACTGAATATCCCTTCACCTTTCTGATAGCCTGAATGATGTTTACTCTTTAAATGTTAACTGAATATCCCTTCACCTTCCCGATAGTCACAATGTTGTTTACATTTTAAAGGTTAACTGAATATCCCTTCACCTTTCTAATAGCCACAGTGTTGTTTACTATTTACAGGTTAACTGAATATCCTTTCACCTTTCTGATAGCCACAATGTTGTTTACTTTTTAAAGGTTAACTGAATATCCCTTAACCTTTCTAATAGCCAGAATGATGTTTATGCTTTACAGGTTAACTGAATATCCCTTCACCCTTCTGATAGCCAGAATGTTGTTTACTCTTTAAAGGATAACTGAATATCCCTTCACCTTTCTGATAGCCACAATGTCGTTTACTCTTTACAGGTTAACTGAATATAACTTCACCTTTCTGATAGCCACAATGTTGTTTACTCTTTAAAGGTTAACTGAATATAACTTCACCTTTCTGATAGCCAGAATGTTGTTTACTTTTTAAAGGTTAACTGAATATCCCTTCACCTTTCTAATAGCCAGAATGATGTTTATGCTTTACAGGTTAACTGAATATCCCTTCACGATTCTGATAGCCAGAATGTTGTTTACTGTTTACAGGCTGCCTTCAGTTTTTCCATGGCGTTAATCTCCTCACATGTCAAAGATACCATAGGCTGGCATGGGATCTATTTACTTGCGGCTGGTTTTCTCGTCATTAGTAAGTTACCTTTTATGGAGTTCTGGGTTTATATTTGAACTCCCCTACAGCAACAACTTTCAATTCATGTAGAAATCGGATGCGTTGTGGTAGCTCCATGATAAATGTAATGGTCGTTTGAATATTTCTTTTCAGTTTGTTTTACCCCCTAAATATGAATATCAACGGCCTTACAAGGTTTCTACAATGTTTCTCTTAAAGCACCAAAGCGAGGCAATAACATTATTCACTAGTCTTGATTAGACTAGATTAGACTGGACAAAAAAGGCAAATTATATATAAAAATTGTATGAATGATCAGTGAAAATCGGTAGAGACACAGGTGTTCAGAAACGTTTTACTTGTACAGAGCTCTTCACTCACTGAAATACGAAGTGACATCCAAAAAACGAAGTGTATAACATTTAAACCATACATTAACTGAAACACTGAAGAAATGTAACTTGACCGTTGAAGAGGGGGGTAACTCTTTAGGGCACATATATCGCCTGACTACCAAATCCAACTTGACTGTATAAAAACCGATACATCAGTTTACACTTTTTACACATTTTTATTATGTTAGTTTGCAGAAGTAGTATTTACATTCAATGTCGGAAACTGTTTCATTGTTTCATTAATCCGTAATATATATGCTGATTACATTTTAACATGATTCCCAATTATCCTTTCTGTTACAGGTTTTGGGTTTTCTTCAGTCGTCTTTTTCAAGAGGTTTCAGAGATGACAATGACACTGTTGACACAAAACCGTGTGTATATAAACATGATTCTGTGCGTACTGTTCAGTTGTTATTGACCCATATTTACGTTCACGTACGCACTGTACCGAAAGTCGTGTGGTGTTGACATAAACAGGACTGGCTGCATTGAGATGTCGTAAAGATCGTGATTATGATACATGTCGTAAAATAGTTAACATACGTTACACGCACCAGTCTGCAGTAGCTGTCGGGTGGGTCTGAGTCAGTACTTACCAGTTCGTGTACATAGCTATTTTCACATATATAAAAAAAAGAAACTTCAGAAAATGTAATTTGAATAATAATGAATAATTTATCTCTGATGATACATCTATGTATCCGAAATGGGATCCCTATCTTTCGACTCTAGAAAAACGTTAGCAAAACCAACTCAAACCCATCCATTCGTCGTGCAAATGACGTTAGTGCAAAATCAGGATTTGCACGTGCAGTCGATCACGTGATCTTCGCATCGAAGTTTTCTTCATATGCACGTGTTTGCATTGGCCTCAAGAATTGAAAAAAACACTTTTAAACCACAGTTCTAACGGTACTTGAAATGCCACAATTGTCAAATGTGCAACGTGAACGTGCCGTTGGCATGTTGCAAGCGGGAAGATCAGTTATTGACGTCGCAAGAGCCATGGGATGCAACCGTCGTACTGTGTATGACTTGCGAGGTCGTCTACAACAAACTGGCACCACTTCTGATCGCCCAAGGTCGGGTCGTCCACGTGTGACGTCACGAGCAGAAGACCGTCAAATCGTCCTACGTCACCTACGTGACAGATTTCTGCCGGCTACATGAACCAGGGCTGAGATGTGTAGAGGTCGACTGTCCTCACAGACCATTCGAAATCGGTTGCTGGCTGCCAATCTCTATTCTCGACGTCCATATCGTGGGCCAATATTGACGCCGTTTCATCAACGTCAACGTCTGCTGTGGGCCCAACGTCACCTCCGATGGACCCAGAGAAACTGGAATCGAGTCGTCTTTAGCAGTGAATCCAGGTTTACCCTCAGATTCGCGGACGGCAGGCATAGAGTCTGGAGACGACGTTGTGAACGGTATGCTCAATGTTGTGTACAAGAAGTCGACAGATTCGGGGGCGGAAGTTGCATGGTGTGGGGTGCTTTCTGTAGGAACAACCGTTCCCGACTCCTGGTCATCCGTGGAAACCTCACAGCTGCTGCTTACCGCGACCAGGTGCTCACCCTGAACTCGTTCCTTTCATGGCAGCTCATGGCCCAGGTCTACAGTTCCAGCATGATAATGCTCGGCCGCATACCCCGATGTTGACACGAAATTTCCTTCAAAACGCTGGAGTCAACGTCATGGGAGAAGGCTTCGTGGTCTTAGGAACCAACCTCAGAATTTGCAGGAACTTGGCGCTGCCTTGCAAGAGCAATGGCGCAGAATCCCTAACCACGTGTTCACAAGCATCAGGCAGTCGATGAGGAGACGGTGTTTGGCAGTGGTGAATGCACGAGGCGGCCATACACGATATTGAACTGAGAATTTTGCATTTTTATTCTTGTGACTTGACATTCTGTATACCCATGTTTTGGAACGGCGGTGTAGCCTAATGGAACTGATTATGGCACTGTCAGTGTATCGAGTACATCACACAGATCTCATCAATGAAATAATAACAATTTAACCATCTCACCACCTCTTGTTCTTTTATAGTGCCCTGAAGAAAGAATGTGAAGTTTCTTTTTTGACTCGGTATATAACTTCCTGAAATTAAAATGAAGTAGGATTAAAGGACACAACAAAATAGCTCGCAGTGCAAATCAGTGGTCTGTCTCCTTTATATGTGATAACAAAAACTTCCATTAATTGTATAATGCATCAGTACAGGAGTTGTATGTAAATCATAATGACATAAATAAAAGCGATAATACTATAACAACACACATAGGAAACTCCTGCTAAAGAGGAGCCGATTGTAGAGTTTGTGAACCACTATCAGATAGTGATAATATGAGGTGTTCGAGAACAGAGTAGGCCCGGCCGTTGGACTACTTCCCACCAGTCCCGTGAATATCCCTGTTAGAATTGATCTTCAACAACCAGTGCCTCTGGTAAGAAATGACTAACGGGATCAGGTGCTCGAGAACAGTGGATTGTTTGAGCTGTGTTACTTTATTACCGTAAGAAGAAATACGACCCCATCCCATCTCCCTTTGTTGATTCCGCTTGACACGTGACAAACCGTATAACACAACCTGCCTGTTTGATCCGTATCAGTGAACACTTAAGACAAGCCAAGTGAGTATGGTTCTGTCAGCTGGCATAGCTGTTATCAGTTGGTTATTTTGTGGATTCACGAAAGAAATGATAGAATTTTTTCCTTTAGTGACTTAGTGAGTGAGTGAGTATGGTTTTAAGCCGCTTATAGCAACATTCCTGGGTGACAAAGGAATTAGCTTTACTCTTTGTACCCTTGTGGGGAAACGAAACCCAGAATTTCGGCGGGACGAACGAATGCTTTAACTACTAAGTTACCCAGGTTTGATAAAGTTAACGCTGTATCGGTTTGTTTCCAGTCTGTATGGCCATTATTCGAATACTGTCGTGGAACTTTTGATATTTTAATGTGATGTCTACGTTGAGATACTAAAGGGCTTAGAGGCAAGTTCTTTTACCATGGTATACATCTATATGCCAGTGAATGGTTGAAATTAAGTATGAATTTGCTTGATGAATTTTACTCAGATGTCGTCTCACATGTTCTCTTGTTACTTATGCTCTTTTTCAATACCTGGACAATGGACGAAAAGCCAAAACCTCTTTTGTGATTTGATGAGATGAATAGCTGTAACATTTTAGGACGGTTCGTAGTGTTTGTGTTAAAAAATGTAACTCCGTGATGCCAGGGATGTCCTTCATATCCAGCGAATATCAGCAGGGGATTGAGAAGACCATACAAGAGAAACAACACAGGCAGCAATCATGACCAGTGTGTTACCAGGACACACATATGGGATGACTGCGAAAAAGGCGACAAAACACAACAGAAAGACAGACAGTATATTTCAGGTAGATTAGGCCACCGGTACATAACACAAGGGCAATGCAGGGAAAAGCGTATTGATGCGCACATAAAATGACATAATAGTTTCAAGTCACAAGGGATATTGCTGCAAAGTGAAGCGCCTGTAAAATACCCACATTTTACATAATAGAATGTTTCAAAGTGAGCGTCGAGTTGCCTGTCAACTTTAATAAAAAAATAATAAAGAAACAAAAACAGGAAAAACAAAGCAAAACACATACCATAGATTATGTTGTACATACCTGTTTGTACTTGCAATGGTTCATATCCTAGTATGCATTTTAATACACTGATTAATATATTTCCTTGTTAACTCTTTAACCAAGTTACATTAAACAATACATGGAATTATTTTCAATAACATTCACATCATGTTACTTAAATTAGGAGCATAGTCTCTGTCCATATGGTGTACGTGTGTATGGTCCAATTCGACATGAAATCAAGAATTACCACATCCAAATCTTACAAGTAATGATTTAAAATACAAAGGAATAGACAGAGAGGAAAAGCTTTGTACTTTGGATGGTGGTTTATAATGTTGGTGATTATAATGATTAGAAAGGTGGTGATGGAGGTGGTGTTTAAGAGAATCAGACCGTCAAAGTTTCTAATACTTATAAAGTACCTGCAGTCACCAACATCTTGAGCAAGTTATACATGTCCAAAGCGATGAAGAACAAATGTGTAATGCATTGTTACGGTGAATAATTTGCCGTGGCAAAATGCTTAAGAGTCCTCGTTGAACCACCAAAATAGAACACAGTCAAGTCTAAAATATCCAATAATATATTGAATAAACAATGAGCAAGTTACAATGAATGAAAATGACAGATATCTAGTACTAGTACAATGCAATTAAGTCACAAATCTAAAATATTGGGTCACAAATATAAACTATTAACTCACCTTGACATTTACAGTGAGAACTAATATATTGATTGAAGATTGTTTACAAGGACAACAGTTGAAGAGACAAGCACGATCAGCCTTGAAATGTTGAACAACTTGACGATGGCAGACAGATGTGTATAAATCAACTCACGTGAAAAGTCCCGTGTCGTACTACCCAACAACCAGCCTTTATATAGCTCTGACACAGTTCTCGTGCATTCTAGCAAAGCTAGGCTCCATCATTATCCTCTCAGAACACCATGGAACCACGTAGAAAACACATGACGTGACAAGACCCGGAAATCAAACAAAATAAAGCCAGCCAAGGGAGGCAACTCTGAAGCGCTATAAAAAAAAGTGTGCTGCTACAAATACCACTGCCATTGAACATATATGATGCAAGATGTGAACCACAACCCACACTCAAAACTTTAAACATTGTGACCCATTATAACTATGACTTAATCAATGTGATATTACAAATGACAAAAAGCACACTCTCATAACAGCATAGATCCGATGTTGTACGTCTTGCAGCATCAAGTGATAGTAGCATGAGGGAGGACTGGTGAGGTAGTGGGTTGGACTAACATACGCAGTATTTAAAGGCCCTGGACATATAATGATATTGAAGGGGTACTCTGCCACGTTCCCCCTGCATTTTTACCCACTTTCAGGTACCATTTACAGAGTATATTTTTGAATAATTTTGTTCCTTTCCTATAAGTTGTACCCTAGACCTCTGATCCATAGGAAATTATACATGCAGGTAAAATACAAATATCAAATATTTTGAAAATGTCTTGCGGGCATATAGCCTAAAGTTCTCTGGTAAGAGGATAGTACCATAACAGCCTTACTAACCTGGGAAATTAAACACGCCGCTGGGCCCTGGTACAAAAGTGGCGGTGGGGTAGTCTAGTGGTTAACGCGTTCCCTCGTCACGCCGAATACACGGGTTCGATTCCCCATATGGGTACAATGTGTTCAGCCCAATCCCGGTGTTGCCCGCCGTGATATTGCTGCAATATTGCTAAAAGCGGCGTATGACTAAACTCACTCACTCTGGTACACAAA